TGAAATTTAATATTTTAGTTCAAAAACCCAACTTTTCAAATTTCTAAAAAGTTTTTAGAATATTAATATTTTAGATTTTTACCTTAAATGTTCAAAATTCAAATTTCCAAAAACGATTTTTATATTTTAAACGTTTGACTTTTTATTCCACCGAATGTTCAAAAAGTTTACGCTTAACAATCTAACGTTCAGTAACATTTTTCGTCTTTTAATTATTCAAAATTTGCTTCAACTTTCAAAACGTTTTGGTTTTTTTTTTTTTAAATTTGGTATTTTGATTCAAACATTCAAATTTAAAATAACCAAAACACTTTGACTTTTAGATTTTTACTTTTAATATCCAAAATATCATATTTCAATCTCAATTTGAATTTTGAATATTAGTTCAATATTCTAACTATCTAAAAGCTTAACCAAAAGAGTTTTTGGTTTAGTTTTAAAATTTAAACCAGGTTTGGAATTTGATATTTTGGATATTTGAAGTAAGCTTCTAAAAACTCAAACTGTAAAAAGTGTTTCGGTTATTTAAAAATTGAGTGTTTGAATCAAAATTCTAAATTTCTAAAAATCTAAAACGTTTGAAAATTGGCAGTAAATTTTAAATAATCAAAAGACGAAAAATGTTATTAAATTTAGATTGTTGAGCGTAAACTTCCTAAAGAAACGGTCGATTAAAAACTCAAAAGTTTAGAATACAAAATTTGCTTTTGGAAATTTGAATTTTGAATATTTAAGGTAAAAATCTAAAATATTAAAATCCTAAAACCTTTTTGGAAATTTGAAAATTTAGATTTTTCAACTAAGATATTAAATTTCAATTTACCAAATCAATTTGAGTTTTTCAAATTTAGAAATTTGAATTGATATATTAATATTCTAAAACTCAAAATCATTTTAGAAATTTAAATTGTTAAGTGTTACACGGACCATGAACAAAAACCATTCCAGACAATATGATCTTAATAATTTGATCATTGACCTAATATAATATTAATACCATTAGAATAAGGGAGCAAAAGTTTCGTTTAAATAAATGTTGAGCTAAATATTGATATATCGCAAAAGAGCTCCCGCACACTGTCCCAGTGTAAAAGTAAGCCGTCAACTGTAAAAGTCAGCACTCCTCGCGAAAGTTTAATAATAACACAAGGTATCTAACTCCAAATAACATGGAGTTCCCTCCCCCCCCCCCCCCCCCACCCCCGATTTTTTAACTTGAATAATTGCATTTACCGCCATGTGCGGTAAATGCCAGTTATCGAAGAAGAATAGCCTAAGCGCGATAACTCCCCTGTCCTCAACCAAATTTCCAAAATAGCCCCAAGCCTTAAATGCGCTTGCGCACACATCCTCTTCGCTCGACGATTTTGATCAGACAGCATCAACAGAAAAATCACCTCCAAGTTGCAACCCATTACGTGGATTACTATATTGTACAGGTATCGTTCCACCGGTCATCGAAACATGCTCCGTGCAAAAAGGACTACAAAGTCTCCATATGCCAGGCCCGGCCGAGCTCCAGCTGCCACCAAAAAGGCCAAAGCATCCAGGCCTACAAGCACCGTGACTCAACCGAACCAGGTCACCACTGCTACAAGCACCGTGACTCAACCGAACCAGGTCACTCCTGACGCCATACCTCCAGCCTTATCAAACCAGCCTACAACTTCCTCAGGAATAGACATCCCTGACCCCTTAGAGTTTGAGGCATCGCCAACAATGCTTTCTCCAGGTACTTCAGGCAGCACTAATACATTATCTAATTCAAGTGCAACAACACCAAATTCATTATGTAGCGTTTCAGACGCATTGGGCGTCCATGTCCCAGACAACCTGAGACAAAACATATATGATAATGCATTCATTCACTTGCATAAATTACTTCCTCTCAAATCAAATGACGAGCCCCAGCAACAGCTCGCATTTGTTGCTGGCGAATTAGTGCTAAAGGCTAAGCATAAAGAAATCAAAATAACTTCAATTGAAACATGGACAAATGCTTTCCTCATTTTCAGCAGCATTTACTTGACTAAGTTCCCTGAACACATTCAATCAATCCTTAAATACATTAACATCATACGCACTGCTGCACAGCGATCATCAAACTTAAACTGGCTCAATTATGACATACAGTTTAGACTAAAGCGCTCCAGGAACCATACTCTCGACTGGGGGTGTGTCGACGCAGAATTATGGCTCTTGTATGTGTCTCATGGCCACAACACTCTATCACAGCAAACCCCAAATTATACATCTAAATCGCCAAAATGCTTTGACTTCAATTACAAAGGCATATGCGGAAGACCATACTGCACTTATCAACATGCTTGCATTAAATGCTCCAATAATCACCCACTCATAAACTGCCGCTGGCACAACAGTCAGGCATTTCGCACAGAAAACTTTCGCCCATCCCAAGCAGAACATCCCCGCCAGCCCCCAAGCAGATTTCAGAGTAGAGGGTTCCCCCCAAACCAACCAAGGCCTCTGGGACTTGGCCCCAACCCCAGTCAACGTTAACATCCTAAAATCAATGCTAAAAGACTACCCCTTGCAACATATTGCTCATGAATTAATCAATGGTTTTCAATATGGTTTCAACATTTGTTATTCGGGTATACGGGAATATCAAAAATCTAAAAACATGAAATCTGCACAAACAAATTCACAGCAGCTCCAAGAAAAAATTGATCAAGAGGTTAAATTAGGTAGAGTAGCTGGGCCGTTCAAGAATATCCCCATGTCAAATATCAAGTGTAGCCCAATAGGCATTGTTCCCAAAAAGCAAGGGGGGTGGCGTATGATTTGTAACTTATCTGCACCAGAGGGAAATAGTGTTAATGACTTTATAGACCCAGATCTCTGCACTGTTCATTATACATCATTTGACTCGACAGTAAGAATGATAAAAGAACTAGGCAAGGGAGCTTTGTTGGGGAAAAAAGACATTTCTAGCGCATTCAGACTCCTTCCTATTCGCCCCGAGGATTTTTCCTTGCTTGGTTTTTATTTTAACAACTATTATTTCGATAAGTGCCTCCCATTCGGTTGCTCTATAGCATGTGCTACATTTGAAAAATTTGCAACAGCCCTCCATTGGATTGTTCAAGATCGAGCCAATATTGACACATTAGTACACTACCTTGATGATTTCCTTTTTGCAGGCCCTGCAAACACCATTGTGTGCAAAAACCTCATGCAAATATTTGACATAACTTGTGAAACGCTCGGCGTTCCTCTGTCAGAGGAAAAAACTGAAGGTCCTACAACTCGTTTAACATTTCTAGGGTTAGGGATTAATACCATCACCCAAACTATATTTGTCCCTAAAGATAAAGTCGACGCCCTTAAAGCCCAACTTCAAAACGTTGCCTCGCGTCGCAAAATTACTCTTAAAGAAATGCAATCATTAGTTGGATCTTTGGCATTTATTTCTAAGGCAATACCTGCAGGGAGAGCCTTTTGTAGGCGATTTTATGACAGCCTATCACAGGGATACAAACAACACCATTATATCACTATCTCAAGGGCACTTCGCGAAGATGTAGATATATGGCTCGAGTTCCTGTCCGACTTTAATGGCACAACTGTATTCCCAGATATTCACTGGTCAGATAAAGACACTATTCACATATCCTCTGATAGCTCTGGTTCACTTGGGTGTGGGGTCATATTTGGTACACAATGGTCCTACCTACAATGGCCTCCAGAATGGTCACAACACGATTGTAGAGATCTGACTTATCTGGAGCTAGTCCCAGTCGCCCTTGCAATATACATATGGGGCCACAAACTACAAGGCAGAAAAATAATCTTGCATATTGATAACATGGCTGTTGTCGAGATAATCAACCAAAAAACATCAAAGTCACCAAGAGTTATGTCCCTCCTCAGGCCTTTTCTTTATAAAATATTAAAATACAATATCCAAGTCCGCTGCGAACATGTACCAGGTCATTCTAATTCTATAGCTGATGCCATATCTCGTTTTCAGTGGCAAAAGTTCAGGAAGCTGGCCCCCCATGCAGACTATTATCCCTGCCAAGTTCCTCTGGAATTCTGGAACCATTTGAGCAGGAAGTAGAACAACTACTCTCAGCATCAGTCTCTCATAACACTCAAGAAATATACCAGAAAGGTCTTGACTCATTTGCACAATTTAGAAAAAAATTTAACTTAACAGAAGTATGGCCCCCTCCCATAGACCAATTAATTAACTATATTGCTTACCTATCCTCAAAGGGGACGACATACTCTACAGCCAAAACCTACCTAGCTGGCTTAAGCTTCAACATAAAACTTGGTAATTTCCCAGACCCATGCCAATTTTTCATAGTTAAGAAAATGCTAAATGGCTTTAAACAACTAAAACATAGAAAAGATTCAAGAAGCCCGATAACATTTCCCCTATTAGTCAAGTTAATAGACTCGCTGCAACATGTGTGTCGCAATTATTATGAAAAATTACTGTTCTCCTCAGCATATGGGCTCGCATTCTTTGCTTTACTTCGAGTTGGTGAAATAACCACCACTAGGGCAAATACCCACAGTTCCCCATTATCAATAGAAAATGTATCAATATCCCAATCATCCATTCAGATCACTTTAGGGAAAACTAAAACAGATCAGCATGGCAAGGGCACAACAATGCACATTAACAGTACAAAGCACAATCAAGTCCTATTCCACAACATTCTAGAGTACGCGACCCATAGACCATCACAAACTCAAACATCACAGTTTCTGTGCCACATGGATGGCTCACCCTTGACTTACTATCAATTCAATCAAATACTAAAGAAAGCTCTATCATTCCTCAAACTTGATATATCAACATTCAAATCCCATTCATTTCGCATAGGGGCTGCAACTTCATTGTATATGCAAGGTACTCCAGAGCAAGAAATCAAAACCATGGGTAGATGGAAATCCAACGCTTTTAAGTCATATGTTCGCCCTAATACTGTAGTCTTGTAGATAGGCAGTCTTACTAACTGTAAGCTAAGTTTGCAGGAACTCGCTGCAAAGTATGGATTGTTGGATCTTCCATCATCAGACGAGCTGAAGATTACTGCACACGTTCACCAATTGGCCAAAACTTGTCTCTGGAGCACTTAAACATAGATGTAACCTGGTCCGGATCTGGGGGACTAAAATGGGAGCAACTTGATCAACACATTGCTAGTTTGTTAAATCGCTATAATGAAATCATTCCTCAAGTTCTAATAGTTCACTGTGGTGGCAACAGTATTGGCATTCAGTCCCTTAAAAAATTACAAATAGCCATGAAATCATTATTAGCCTCCATTCATAGAAAATTACCAAACACTCTTCTTGTATGGTCAAACATACTTCCTCGCAAATACTGGCGTTACATGATTTCGAGCGAAGCTGCAGAGAAATCTAGAAAAAGAATCAATAATTCCATTGGCTGCTTTGTTGTGCAAAAGTTAAATGGGGCCCTCATTCGTTACCCAGATATTAGAATTGATCAGCCCAAATTATTCCTCGATTGTGTTCATTTATCAGATCTTGGAAATTCTATTTTTACAACTACAATTCAAACGGCATTGTCCAAGTTTCTGACTTCCAGTCAAAAGGTTTTCCCCACACTCCCATAAAACACAGTATCTGTGCATGGCTTGTAAAAGAAACACCTTCACACCACCCCATATTCATGATAGTAGTCGCAATTGCACTGAGTTGCATTTCATCCTTCCCTCTCCCCTCCCCCCAGTTATGCTGATTGATGCTTTGATATGTTGTGTTATATTGCTTTGCCACATTATTCATTGATGATACCCTGCATATTGTTTTTGTATTGCTTTGAGAATCATTGCGTTGCATAAGACATGATGTCTTGTTTGCCAAATTGTCCGCCACTTGTTGGCGGATGGATTGCTGTCTCGAAATTCGTGCACAGCAATCCACTTGGCAGAATTTTGCAACAAGCCATCGCTGGCAACTTCTGTTTACCCTCCAGGGTTGTCAGCACCATATGGCTCCGTTTCTGCAAACCGTAGGCGCCAAATGCCAGATTGAGGATCGGCGCTTACTCATTGACACTTGCATTAATACTTGATCATTGTCCATTGTTTGATACCATTGATTTATTATGTAATAACCTATCTTAAACAAAATAAAGCCATGACAGATACTGCCATTCTGAATTGCTTATTCTTTCGAGATAATTGCATTTACCGCCATGTGCGGTAAATGCCAGTTATCGAAGAAGAATAGCCTAAGCGCGATAACTCCCCTGTCCTCAACCAAATTTCCAAAATAGCCCCAAGCCTTAAATGCGCTTGCGCACACATCCTCTTCGCTCGACGATTTTGATCACCCACCCGCCCCCACCATTTTATGTAGATTAATATTCCTCATCTAATCCACACAGTTTTTTCCTTTACACCGATCATCCATAAAACTTGCTTACATATACCAGTCATCCATAAAAACTGCTTACATTTATACATCACCCTATTCAGTTACGTACGCGGATATGCATACATATAGTATTTTTATCATAGGTATGTTAGGGCATAAATATTGTGCATTCAATTATTATTAGTTTTCTCCTGTGTTTCTGCTGTTATCATTTCCGATTCCAGCGCAACATCGTCCCTCGTCATGGCTTTAGAGATCCTTCCAGGCTGCAATCCATGCCGACGAACTACAGAATTTTGCAACAAGCCATCGCTGGCAACTTCTGTTTACCCTCCAGGGTTGTCAGCACCATATGGCTCCGTTTCTGCAAACCGTAGGCGCCAAATGCCAGATTGAGGATCGGCGCTTACTCATTGACACTTGCAATAATACTTGATCATTGTCCATTGTTTGATACCATTGATTTATTATGTAATAACCTATCTTAAACAAAATAAAGCCATGACAGATACTGCCATTCTGAATTGCTTATTCTTTCGAGATAAATAGCACTTACATTTCGAATACTGAATTAGTCGCAAAATTTATCTGGTCAAACCCAGATCTATTTGTTAAGGTGGGTCGCCTCAAAACGCGTAGCCATCCAGGATTTTTTTTTTTTAGTTGAGGGTGGGATATTTTATTCAGATGTTTATGCCCCTGTAAACGAAGGGTACATGTGTATATAGTTTTTGTCGTGTCCGTCCGTCTGTCTCTCTGTTTGTTTGTCCGCAAAAACTTTAACCTTGCCCATAACTTTTGATTTAGTAGAGGTATGATTTTTATATATTACATGTGTATTCCTTGTGACAAGAACTTTCTTTGGGTACCACCAAATTTGACCTTTTGACCTTGACCTTGGAGTTTGACCCACTTTTATATGAAAATTTTTAACTTTTACTTTGGCCATATCTTTTGAACAGTAAATACCAGGACATTTATACTTCACATATGTATTCTTTGTTGAAAGACCTTTCATTGGATACCAACAAATTTGACTCTTTGACCTTGACCTTGAAGATTTCCGTACTTTTGAAAAAACTTTAACCTTGGCCATAACTTTTGAATGGTAAGGGATAGGGCTTTCATACTTCATATATGTAGTCCTTGTGAGAAGTCTCCTTATTGAATACCAAGAACGTTGACCCCTTGACCTTGACCTTTGAGTTTGACTTACTTTAAAAATGCAAACCTTGACCATAACTTTTAAAGAGTTAGGGCTAGTGCTTTCATACTTTATATTTTCAATCCTTGTGACAAGTCCTTTTATTTGATAACAAGAACTTTGACCCTTTGACCTTGACCTTGGAGTTTGACCTACTTTTTTTTAAAAAACTAATCTTGGCCATAACTTCTGAACGGTTAGGGCTAGGGCTTCCATACTCTATATAAGTATTCTATCTGGCAAGACTTTTCAATGGATACCAATTACCTGGACCTTTTGACCTTGACCTTAGTTCAAAAACTTTAACATTGGCGTACTTTCAAATTCCTTTATTGTTTTCCAGTGAGAATACCCTACTTTTGGAACCAATTAATTAAATTTGCATTAAAGAAAAGTTTAATCTTTGCTATGTTGACATACAGGGGCATCAGTGTTTCACAAACACATCTTGTTTTACGATAAAAACTGAAGAGTTCTAACTTCGATCAGAAATTCTTTAGTGTTTGCATCTTTTTTTACTCAAAAGAACTTACTGCATCGGAGGAGGAGGGGAAGTTAATAACAAAACAAGCAAATTCAAAGAATTGTGGTCCCCCGCTTTCGGTGTCTTTGTTGGTGAGATGTTATTTTTTATGACATATTGTGTCTAATATGAACATCCTATCATATGTCATTTCATAGAAATTATCATAGAAGTTGATTTTTTTGAAGGATGAAAACCCTTATCCTGACCGTTAAAAAGTTATGGCCAAAGTTAACGTTTTTTAAAAGTAGGTCAACTCCAAGGTCAAGATCAAAGGGTCAAAGCTGTTGATGAAAGGTTTTCTCACAAGGATTACATATGTGAAGTATGAAAGCCCTAGCCCTTACCGTTCAAAAGTTGTGGTCAAGGTTAAAGTTTTTACATAAGTACGTAAATCTTTATGGTCAAGGTCAAAAGGTCAAAGTTGTTGATATCCAATGAAAGGACTTGCCACAAAGAATACATATGTGAAATTTATAAGTCCAAGCATCTACCGTTCAAAAGTTGTGACCAAAGTTAAAGTTTTTAAAAAGTAGTTAAAACTCCAAGGTCAAGGTCAAAGGGTAAAAGTTGTTGGTATCCAATGAAAGGTCTTCTAAAAAAAATTGCATATGTGAAGTACGGAAGCCCTAGCCCTCACCGCTCAAAAGTTATGGTCAAGGTTAAAGTTTTTTCATAAGTATGTAAATCTCCAAGGTCAAGGTCAAAAGGTCAAGGTTGTTGGTATCCAATGAAATGTCTTGCAACAAGGAATACATATGTGAAATATAAAAGTTCTAGTATCTACTGTTTAAAAGTCGATCAAGGTTAAAGTTTTTAAAAAGTAGTTAAAATTCCAAGGTCAAGGTCAAAGGGTAAAAGGTCTTCTCACAAGGATTACATTTGTGAAGTACGAAAGCCTTAGTCCTCACCAATCAAAACTTATGGTCAAGGTTAACGTTTTTTCATAAGTACGTAAATCTCCAAGGTCAAGGTCAAAAGTCAAGGTTGTTGGTATTCAATGAAAGGTCTTGCCACAAACAATACATTTGTGAAATAGGAAAGTCCTAGTACCTTCCACTCAAAAGTTATGGCCAAAGTAAAAGTTTGAAATTTCTGTGTAAAAGTGGGTCAAACTCCAAGGTCAAACTTGGTTGTACCCAAAGAAAGGTCTTGTCACTAGAAATACACATGTGAAATATGAAAGTCATAGCTCTACTAAATCAAAAGTTATGGGCAAGGTTAAAGTTTTTGTGACGGACAGACTGACAGACTGACAGACGGACAGACTGACGGACAGACGAATGAGATTTAATGTCCCCTCGCTTTCGCGAAAGCGGGGGACAAAAAGTTTGGGACTTATCCCGAATTTTCAATGCCCATATGATATCTATATTTGCAAAAACCTTCCGACGTCTATGAGGTGCTTATATATTTTTGTGTTTTACTTTTCTATATTTTCTTTTAATCTTAACTTTGTTCTGGATCAAAACATATTAACATTGCTAATTTTTTTTTTCAGTTTATGATTTTGAGGTGAACATAACAATTGGGAACGTGACAGAAACTTCCATATTGGTGGCATGGAATACAACACAGTACCCTGGTGTTGAAGTGTATTTTACCATAGCATTTAACAACACACCTATCAATAACGTTAGCAGTCCTCACTTAATAGAGAACATGACCGATGGAGAGGTGCATAGTCTTCAAATCACGTCCACTGTAACGGGGAGAGACATGAGGACTGAGTCTGTAATGTCAAAAGTGGAATATGTTAGAACAGGTGAAGTAACCCCGCATATGTATGGAAAAATAAAACGATTTTAGATTTTCTTACTTTTACAAACTTATCTACAGCATAAACTTCTAAAATAATGATATTCAAATTCTATTCATTTACAGCTCCAAGGCAACCAAATGTTACTCTCGATCCGCCTTATAATGCACCAAGTATAACCATTAGATGGACACCAAGAAATCCATACTTCAGCGTGTTTTACATATATTTTACGGGTCCTGGTGTTAACTTTGTTGCCTCCACAACTGATACAAACAAAACATTCACTGATCTGAAGCATGGAACAATCTACTCTTTCACAATTGTTCAAGAAACAGATGAGCCATATAGAAGAAACAGCTCTGATTTAACCAAAGAATTTCGCACAGAGCCTTCAGGTATTCCTTTTTTCCTGAACAGTTAAAATGAGTATTTAGAGATTAAATATATTTAAACTTGTCTGCTTTCAGAAAATAACGATTCTATTTCATTGAAATTACTTTTTCATGCGAGATATTTCACAGAATTGCGTATGGACATAATGTTTACAGATTTACATGTATGCCATTCATACCCTGATATTTAGAACTTACGTTCCCAATAGCGTGTATATAGCAAGGACCTTCATTTTCGGTCGGGATAAATTCCTTTTCAAATAATAGCTTTATTTTCCTTAAACAATCTAGCCTTAATATATTTATAAAACAGATTTTAGGTGTAAGGTTGTTTTGGCAAATTTTCTGAAGGAAGGATATTGCGGACATTTATTTGCTTTATGACTGCGAAAAAATTTTAAGGACTGTGTCTTGTACTTTCAATCTTCTTAAGTTTACGCCATATCAAGTCCAGAAAAATTTCAAGACCACCACAATTTCTTAAACCTCCAGTAAAAAAGCTGTTAAATATTGCAATAACACCCTTTCTTTCGCAGTATAAATTATATAGGTATTACCGTATTATATCCTAAATTGTGTTCTGAAGAGAGACTTATTCAAAGAAACTTGTACAAATTACATTGCTGCTTTCTAGATACTTTATTCATAAGTATCTCATTGATTTGAAATGTTTGCTAATCAAAAATATTCAGGAGTATGGAAATTGATTTGTAATTAAATGTTTGCTCATCAAAAATGTTTTATGTTCAAAAATTCATAATTGAAAAATATTTCATTGCAGCGGCAAGTGTGATAAAAATTTAAATGATCAACATCATCAACGTTGTCAAATGATACAATCCTGTCGGTAAAAAGAAAAAAATAATACCTAGTGTTCAGAGGGAAAATATCTGTTGTCTCTTTACTTTTTTGACATTTCGACATTGTCCCGTCTTCAAATTTCTATTGAATTTACGTGTTGTTCCTTAACTCTTTAAACTTACTGAATTGTTATGCAAGATACCTTAATGTTCACGTCATATAGAAATATGTGTTTACCATTTCCCCGCAAGCACATTATAGAGTGTTACAAGTTTCTCTAAAGTTTACCGTAAATAATATTATGGCGTAATGTTTTAATAAGATTATAACTTTTCTTATTTTATGAGATTTCAGCAAGTATAAAATAGAAGGATTTTGGCAATAAATTGAAGATTAAATGAACTTTTTAAGGTGCGTGAAAATGCGTGATTGCGGGGAAACGGTACATGCGTGATTTTGCGTTAGAAATATAGGAAATGGTACATGCGTTAAAATGCATTACTGCGGGGAAGGGGGTTAATTGGCTTAAAGCGTGAAACGTTTGTTTACATCACCACATACATACACCAGTAATAAAAAATATTTTTAGGAATAGATGTGCTTCGAATGATTTCTTTGGAGTCATCTTGTCATATATATACGAATTCTCATCAAGACAAGTGCACTGTGAATGAATTTTACGAAAGTTTTTGAAAACTCTGCATTTAAACTGTCATCCGCACAAAATAGGGTACAACGTACTACTACAAAGTAATTTGGTAATTCATAAAAATTCAGTTAAGCTGTACTCATATATGTTTATATTTTTTTAGTCCCACGTCCACCTACATATGTTGGGGCAAATGCTGGACAACGGAATATAACAATAAATATAACTGACACTGATATGCCTAATGGAGGTATCATCCAGTATATTTTCCAGCTGACTTACAAAGTGTACAGAGACGAGGCAGATCGTCATGGCGTGATCATTCTACCACAGAAAGACTCGGGCATATATATACTGGAATCACAGAGACATGGACATATTTTTCCAGGTGAGAAACCATAGATTTACTCGTACTCAGTGAGCATCAGTTACAAAATTTCTAATAACAAAAGCTTTAATAAAGAAATCTAGAGTTTTAAAACATTTACAATAAGTTATCCTAAATGAGTATAA